GCCACCACACCAATCAGAAACATTTTAAAAAGTGCTAAGCACATGGCTCAGTGGTAGGGTGTTTGAATTTAATTCTCAAGTCCATTTTTTAAAACTACTGAATCATCTCTCCAGTTCCTAACCAGACAATCTTTCCATTCTAGTCCTTTTACCACCAGCCTCATAGGTTAGCCCCTGAAGAGGTTATTAGATAGATCTATCACAAACAGTTAAATAATTGATACTGATTAGTAAATTTCTACAAAGAAGAAACTCAGGGACAGGGTAGCTTTGAATTCAAAGTCACTCCTTCTAGGTCACATCTTGGAAAAGAGCTGAACAAAGGGAAAAATAGCCCCAGCTCTGACCAGGCAGGTGGCAAGAGTGGAAGAGGTCCTGACACGTGACTTCCACCCCTTATTCTGAGACAGCCCTGTGTGACTCAAGAAGGTGAAGCCTGTCTCTGAACCTGGTCCCTTCATTTCTTCAGTAAAAGACAGTCTAAGGCTTTTCTAACTCTGATACCTAAAGACCAGAGACCCTGGGCATCCAAGGAGGAAGGAAGAACCAACTTTTCTTGAAGAAGGTAACTTTGGGGCTGTGTTTAAATTTTTTAAAATTATTTTATTTTTAATGTGTATGGATGTTTTGATTGCATGTATATCTGTGCACTACATGTATACCTAGTGGTCAAAGAAGCCAGGAAAGGGTGTTAGATCCTGTGGAACTAGAGTAATAGATAGTTATGAGTCACCATGTAAACGCTGAGAACTGAATCTGAGTCCTCTGGAAGAGCAGCCAATGCTCTTAATTGCTTAGCCATCTCTCTAGCCCTGTGTAGGGGTCGTCCTTCCACGCCACCCACATCCCACGAGTTCCATATTGTCCTAGGGGGATCATGGAGGACAGGGTCCCACAGCCCTGTCTTTAAAAAATTAATTAATTAATTTTGTTGTACCCAGGGCTTTGCACATGCTAGGTATGAGCTTTCCCCAGCCCACTGGGCTGTTGTTTAAATCAGATTCTGTGAGCCTAGAACATGTCTAAAAGGCCAATCACCCATTACCAAGATGCCGTTTTCATCCTGGTGTATCTAAGCACTCACAGACATCCAGGTCACGGTGGTTAAGGACATTGAGTTCAGACAGAGGCTGAATTCAGTTACTACGCCAGTCTGACTTCCTGGCTTTGTGAAACCCAGAGAATTGACTTCAGTTGGGTTTCTGTGTCATTTGTGAGCTGGAGTCAGGAAGAATACCTACTTTATGATGAGAATCGACTGAAATAAACCCTGTCAAGTTTATGGTTTGTGACTTGGCACATAGGTATTTACCGTAAGAAAGAAATGACGGCTGAAAGGAAATGCTGCCAGAGCTGTTTTCCTCTGTGCAGGACGCCTCACCATTCCTTCAGGCCACTAAATATGCTTTTGCATTGTTAGTGAATCAACTCACAAAACAAAGGGGAAACTGTGCTTCTAGGGAATGTGAGATACGCTGATTATTTTCCTGTGGTCCAACAGATGGCACACAAGACCACTTCTACTTGAAACACTAGGTAACCTCACGGACTGAAGGTGAACTCTGTAAGTTGTCTCAAAGGCCTTAGTAAATACACAAATAACTGAAGGCACTGTTATTGAACTTTAACACGACAAAAGCAATTTTTACAAAATTCTGGCACTAGGGGGCCTGCTCAGATCAGAGTGACCTCAGCCGGGTTCCACACGCTGGGCTGGTCAAGAGGCGGCAGGAAGGAACCAACAGTGCAGCCTGAGCATTGCTTTAGGCACCTTAGACAAGCACTGCGGGCAGTGTTCACAACACTGCTTGCTGATCTGGGGGTAGTGGGCATGGCCCCGTTTGAGAAGAGCTCTTGAAGGTCCTGCTGTCACATCCTTTCAGTAGGCTGGGCACGTGAAAAGTGGATAAGCCACTGCCAGAGGAGGGCTTTGCTTACTCATTATTTTAGCTCATCAGGAAAATCGGGATTTAACTCTCTTTCTGATCCTACTTTCACAGGATATAATGGCAGTAAGGTAGGGTAAGAGAAGGGACTGGCCTAAAAACCACCAGGAAGGAGAGTTTATGTTCATCAATGTCTGAAATTGGTTGTGTTTTTGGGACAAAATCTGGCTTTATCCTGATTTTAACATTAAGATACTGCGATGTTCAACACTGTCAATTTGACAAGATCTACACCCACTGAAGAGATGAACCTTCCAGCATGTCTGTGGATTATATAGATCAGATGAACTGAAGTAGGAAGACCCACGCTAATGTAGGTATTACTGCCCATGGGCTACCGTCTCAGTCTAATCAAGAAGGAGAACTTGAGTTGGGCGTGTTCTTGCTGTTCATTGCTCCTGTGTCTGGATGCATTGTGATCAACTATCACTCCTGCTACCACACTCTCGGTCACAGCTATATCCCCTGGAGCTGTAAGCCAAACAAGCCCCTTTCCTTAAGTTGCTTTGTTGAGCACTTTGTTGTGTCAATGAGATGAGCAAATAAGGAACAGATATTATTAAAGGCCATGGCAGAACAGTCTGCAGAATGTATGATAAAAAGGGATAGTAGTCTTAAAAAATGGAATTGAGAATTAAATTCAAGCACCCTACCTAGCACTTTTAAAAATGTTTCTGATTGGTGTGGAGGTTGATCTCCATAAGCCAACAGCTGAGAAGTCAATGCAGGAATATCAGGAATTCAAGTCCAGCCTCAACTATATAGTGAGTTTGAGGTTAGCCTGGGCTACAGTATGAAGTCCTCTCTCAAAACAGAAACAAAACTGGCTGAGTTTGGGCTGGCAAGATGCCTCAATGGCAAGCCACTTCTTATCAAGTCTGATGATTTGAATTTGATCCTGGAACTCACATGGTGGAAGGAGAAAACAGGCTCCTGTAAACTGTCCTTGGATCTCCACACGTGTGCTGTAGCATGCGAGTGTGTGTGTGCACACAAACAGACAAATGCTCATATATATATATAGACAATAGATGAATAAATGTTAAAAAGTCTTGCTTAAATTTTCATTTTTAATGAATTCTCACCAAGTTGCCTACCCTGGCCTTGAACTCACTCTAAATCTCTGCCAGGCTTTGAAGTAGTGCAGCTTCCTGAGTGCTGAGATCATAAGCCTGTACCATCAGACCAAAGAAGTTCCTACTTTTAATATTAAACCCACTCGCCTTGAAATGCCAATTATCACAACACCAATTGACTAAAAAGCTAGAAAGGATAAGAAAGAAACCAGAAGTCCCCCGAACTTTGATCAGTAAAAAGCAGTGTTGCCTGCAAAAGCATCCAATCTAATTCCCAAAGAAGGCCCGTTTGTTTTTCTAACCTCATTCATTAGTGCCTTAACAAGCGTACTGGGGGTGCATCCTAATCCAGCGTGCCACACAGTCAAGGCCTGCAGAGAAGCCCGGCAACTTGACCTGAACTTAATTTGCACTTAGCCTGGATTCCCTTTGCACCCTCTGCATCTAGGTGCTCCACTCTAATCACAGCCCTGTTTCATCCTGAAAGGCAGAAATGAGCCACCAAGGGAGAAATAAAGTTCTGTGATGTCATTTATAATATGTTATAATAAAAACACAAAGCGAAAATTACACAGGGCCAGCATAAAGTCTCTTCCATTAAATTCATTCAGTGAAAGGTGCTGAAGTCTCACACCACTGAAACACCAGAGTGCCTGGAATTGACTGTGTTGTGGGATAACCTTTCTGTACACTGTGAAGAAGTGTCTCTCCCTAAGGTGCCTTCTGACTGGTTTAACAAAGAACTGAATGACCAATAGTTAGGCAGGAGAGACCAGGGAGGACTTCCAGGGAGAGAGTGGAACTCTGGGTTAGATCCAGGCAGGCAGGAGACAGCAGCGAGACATGAGCATGAGGAAGTCATGCATGAAGTTATGGAGAATAGGTAACAAGCTAAGTGGCAGAATGTAGATTAGTATAAATGGGTTAACTTAAGTTGTAAGAGCTAGTTGGGGATAAGTCTAAGCTAAGGCCAAGTTTCCATAATTAATAATAAGACTCCGTGTCATTATTTGGGGGTGGCAGCCCAAAAGAAAGTCTGACAAGAAAGTCTGACTACAGGCTCGTCTGTTCCTTAGCATCACATTGCCTACTGTTACACTATTTATTATTTTTAACATATTAATATCATCAGTGGAAACTATTTCATTCAATGATTTTTTTTTACTTATCCTACTTTAAAGGTTTATTTTCTTATTCTAATTATGTCTATGTGTATGTGTGTCTATGTATAGGTATGTGCACATGAGTCTGGGTGCTCTTAGAGGCCAGAGCAGTTAGAGTCTCCCTAGAACTGGAGTTACAGGTGGTTATAAGTTGCTTGACATGGGTGCTGAGAATCGAATCTGGGTCCCCTGGAAAAACAGTAAATGTTCTTAACTGCTGAGCTATTTCTTCTGCTCCCTAGCATCTTTTAGAAGGCTTTAACAATATTGCAAAATGACAGACTAATTAAAGAATTTTGGTCAAGTAGCTCACTGTTGGTAAGCACTAGATACCATCTAAAAAGAAATATTTTACATTCTTATTGACTTAAAAATGTTAGTGGTGAGGCATGGTTTTCCTTTTGAGAAATGGCTTATTAGAATTAAGGAATTATTTATGGCAACAAAGTCTTTAAAATTGCAGGTGTGTGATGATTTATGTGTTTGTATGTATATGTTTTCAGCAGGGGATTTAGTAAGAAAGGACGGAGAGATAAAAACCATAAATATATATATTCCTGTCATATTAAAATGATAGAATTGTAAGTGGTAGTCTTCTTTGTAACTAAATGTTTTCTCAGATTTAGATCAACAATGTCATGATTATGAAGCAGTGGTTGTTCGGCAACACTGAGAAAGAAGAGGCTATGGCACATGCTTTGTTCCGCAGGAAACAAATCACCGCGGGAACAGTAGAATCAAAGACAGACGCTTTGACCTTAGGGACCAAGGTTAACCATGTCCAGTGTCACAAAGTGCAACTCAGAATGGGGTACCTCTAAAATCTGGTCTCCAGCCCACAGTCTTCCATCTCTGGCTGCTGCACCTTCTTCATACACTTCATGGATAACTATAGCATCCTATAAAAGAAAAATTCCCACTAGTGGTTAGCAACCAGACACAACCTTAAGCAAGCATCCAGATGATGGGCAGCAACCCACAACTGGCCATTTGCTAATGTTTACTTGCTTGATATAAACATAAATAAGAAGCAAAGTTAACAGTTCAGAAGTACAATTATATTTTCCAAAGATGATTATTTCACTCCTTTAGGATGGGATTTGTCTCAGATTCCATATTAAACTTGCCCTGTGTTCTTTCTGTTGACCTTAAACATTTGCTTCTATGTTCAAACTTGAGGTGAACTCTGCATCATTTCCTTTTTACTGGTAATTTTAAACAGTTTCAGGTATTTACTAGAGCTCAAGGGTTCAGCGTAGAAGTGCGGCCTGATCAAGGGTTCTGCCAGGCCTCATTACTTGGGCGATGAAAGAAAAGAACCTGGTGAAATGAGCTAGTGTTGAAGGACAAAGCGGGACGTGGGAGGAAGCACTCAGAAACCAAGTACAGGTCAGCTGTGGGTTTGGGACGCCTTTGAACTGAATACTCTAGGCCAGAACTGTAGGGCACTTTCTGTGACAGGTAACCTTTGCTTATAAAACATCTCCTCATTAATGAATTAAAAGTAATTTACATCTCTTCATATTAATAATCTCATTTTTTGTTTTCTATTTATTTTTTAAGTTTTTTTTTCATATAATATCCTATTAGTCATGTCCTTGTGGGTGTCTGCTGGCTTAGTCTGAGGAGAGGTCTAGGATGTGATCAAGAGCTGGGCCTCTGGAATAGGCTTTCTTTGTTCAAAGATGGGCATTGCCACTTCCAGCTGTGGGTCTGCAGAAGGCCATTAGCTCTTCTGGAACTGAACAATTTACTAGCTACACATGTGGCTGACTGCTAAGTGTCACCATGGGCGAGGGAATGATCAGTTCTCTTGTCACTCGTTAGTGAACACCTATGTAGCAAAGGTGCCACACATGTCCAGCGGTGTCACACAGTCTTCCTATCAGCTGAGCAATCTAGCACTGAAGAGCAAGCGAAGGTCTTGAGGGTTCCAGTTCTGAACAAGTCTTTGCAGTTTCTGACAGGACAGACGTAAGGCTGGGCGCCCACCACGTGACTGATCTGTTTGAAAAGGTCAGGCTTCTCCATATGATCAGTTCTGCAGAAAAACTGCCACCCCAGTTCCACAGCAGTAGCCTCGAGGGCACGGATGGATCATTTTACAGAATGTGCAGAAAAAGATGACTTTGGAGGTGGAGGGAAGGAAGCCTGGGGACTAGTAAGACATTGATGTCTACAGATCTCAATGGCAGAAGGTGGCACAGGGTCTGGTCCTCACTGTTGCAGTGTGAATCCCCACAAACAAGCTTCTCCTTCAACTCCACTGGTTCCTTGTATCTTTTCTCTAGTCTTTACCTCTCCAGAGCTGTTTCTGAGTGATTTTAATTTTTTTTTTTTACAGGGCAGGATAATATAACCAACAGCACACCATATACCACCGACAGGTTGATATTTAAATACAAATAGAAATATCATCTTTATATGTGTTTAGAAAGTATGAAGGGCTTCAAATGTTGAAAGGTAACTCCTTTGTTTCCTGATGTTCTCCTCAAATCAATCAAGGGTCACATCCTCCACTACTAATTCTTGTGTGAGTCACCACTGCATTCCTGCACTTAGCAGAATATCACAGTTGTCTTTCCATAGACCCATTCCCCTATTCCTGATGCTAAAATTCAGAACTGCTCCCAGTTCATCTCTGTGTCCTGGTGGCAACCTGAAGCAAACACCCATCAAGTGTTCTATTCAGTGTTATCAAGAAAACATCGACGACAGAAGAGATCAAGATGACTCTGAATGGAGAGGTGGGTAAGGCTAGTATGTCTTAATTCTGTTTCAGTCCTACCTTCTTATGGCACAGTATTAACAATACAAAACCAAAATACTCAACCAAAAATGGATGTGAAGCCATATGAATTCCCAGAGAACTTACGTTAGCTCAGAGAACCATTTAAAGGAGCCAAGCATGAGAAAGACTTAATTATCACCGAGCCCCACAAAATCCCCAAATTCCTCCAAGGGGATTAAACTCTGAATTGCTGGAAAAGAATTTGATAACATGTAATAACAGACCCTTAGACAGAGGCAAATTCACTGCACACTACAGTGCATCAATCAAATTTTCTTTACTGTTCAAGCTGCCAACAAGTAGATAAAGTAACTCATAAACACACTAATCATTCGGCAAAAGGCAATTTTATCCTTGTCACAATAGGCCCATAACACTTAAGGAAGCCATGTGTTAGAAAAATTAAGTAATGTTGTCTGTGGGCTGAAAAAGCTTAAGAAGCTTTACATTGTGGACAAGCTATTCTAGACGAATGAGATTTTTATACTTAACACTTGTGGATATTCAGTAGATTAGTTTAATAAGCATTTTAGAACAAAATTTTGACTGGGAACTCTATGGTAGATAATTATGAAGGTCTGTGTCCACATGGCTTTGTTTCCTGCTTGTAGGCAAGTTTTCCATAGCTTGGATCACCCTTGAAGGAAAAGCAGTCTTTGCCACACTCGTAAAAGCCTCCAACCACACTCCCCACAAGAACTCCTAAGGGATGCTTTAACCACAAAAGTTCCACATTAAATTTCACATTTAAGATGGAAAACATTTATCAGTATTCCAAAAAAGTGTCAGATCTTGTTATTCTGCCATCAGGGAAAAACTGCTCCTAATGAGAAAGACCCACGAGTACTGAAAGCAATATTAAACATATTCCATATTAAATGGGCATTTCTTTCTTTTGAGAGAAACCATGGCTCAGACCTCTGTGACACATGCTGCTTCCAAAGGCTACTTAACAGAGTTCTCAGTTGTTACTTGTGCAGAACTCACAGCAGGCGTGCCTTCTATGAAGTGTAGTGTGCCATGCTCACAGCCAAAGCACTGAGCCATGAGGGGGGCTAATGCAGCGAGGAGAGTAGAAGCCTAAACTATACTCCAATAGTCACTGAAAACACGGGCCTGAACGTAGCTAAATATGAAACGCTGGGTTAAGCTGATGCAGCTTATCTCATTTTGAGCAAAATTGTAAGCTGGAACTATATCTAGTTAAATACAAAGAACACGTAATGATGATTCTTCTTAGAACCCAGATCCTTTAATACTCTCTCTCCCCCTCCTCCCTCCCCCTCCCTCTCTCTTTCTTTCTCTCTCTCTCCCTCCCTCTCTCTCTCTCTCCCTGTTTCTGTGTACATCTGTGTGTCTGGACCCAGGGCCTTATGAATTCATGTTAACCCAGTGGTCTACGACTTAGCTGTTTCCAGCCTCTTAACCCGATGCTTTTAGGAAGAAAGCTTTTCAATTGTACTTCAATTAGAACTTTAAAGTGCAGCAGTGTTTGGAAGGATTCAGGACTGGGAGTTTGAAGAGTCACACTTCCTGACACTCTCGAGGTAGCCTCATTAAGTTTCTTTTTTCATGACACTTAACAATGTCAGTGAAACATACGCCCTCTAACTCCATACCAGCTTTAAAATTCTTTTTCTCCCTACACGGTGGCACAAAGAATCCACCATATAGTAGAGACTGATTGAATAATGACCCCCCAACACAGACATCAAAGTTTCAGGGGTTATACCTAGTAAATAGAGGGAGGAAGACATGTCAGTATAGTCTAAATGCAAGACTGAGGCATGCCAACATTTCTATGTTTCTTGTCACCATGGAAACTCCAATGTATGACTTGCTGCTTTTTTCTGGGTGAAACATACTTTATTAGCTTTCTGAGCATTTTATACATGTATACAACACATCTTGATCATGATCTTCCCTCTCCTTCCCTAACTCTGCCCAGATCCACCCCCTTTGTAATTTTTTTTCAAGAATTACTATGATACAAGGAAATTTCAGGATATTCTATCTCCAAAAGCTGTGTGTTCTATCTCCACCACCAATAATGGATTGTACAAACTGGTCCTGTTGACATGGGTCTGTAATCCCAGTTCCTTGGAAGGCTGAGGCAGGAGGATGCCAAATTTAAAGCCTGCCTGCACTACAGAGTGAGTCCAAGGAGAGCACGGGCAGCTCAGTGAAGCTCAGCTTCAAATAAGAAAGGAAAAAGACTGCAAAAAAGGCCTAATTCAGATAAAGCTTACACGGAGCTGTGAGCTGCCTTTCTCATCATCACCAGAGACTCTGCTCCTGGCTGACACAGGGGCTTAATTTCTTAACCTGTGAGAACATTCCTGACTGAAGGCAAAGGAAGTCAATAGATTTGTCAAGTGTATATTAAATATACTGCTTTCCTATAAAACAGAATGTGACATTACAAGAAACACAGTATCTGTCAAATTGATGTCCTCACTGCTTGCAAATTCCATAGACTAAACAGTTTCAATGCAACTGATACAATCATACACATCACATACATACATACATACTTACTTTCAGGGGTCATAAACTTTTGCACACTATTTACCAAGTGACTAACCTATGAAATGAAGTCACAGACATAGTAGTGACCACGAGAACTGCGGTGAGAATCAACAAACACATTATACTTTAACACTGTGATAAGCTTTCTCTTAAGCTCAAAAATGAAATTTAAATTTACCTAAAATTGAGTTCTTGTGCCAAGCTTGATTTAACAAAAAGGTGATGTTCATGAATATGTATATAATTGTCCATGCTGATATATTAATTCATTGAAGGAAATGGATAATATTTGCATTACATTTGATCATTATATTTTTTATTTTATTTCTCCCCTCCAAACCTTTTCATATACCCCTTTTTACTCTCCTCTGAATTCATGGCTTCTTTTTTTCCCACTAATTGTTATTGCATGCATATATGTATATGCATTACATTTTATAAGTCCCCACAGTTCCATTTGTTCCTTATTTATTGAAATCTTACTTAGCCTGCATAATATTGTTGTTTGCAGTCACGTTCTTATGGCTGAATGTCCAAATCCAGGGTACAATTCGTTAACATTCTTCCAGTGTGATTCAT